CAACGGACCGAATTTTTTTTTCAGCATCAGCATGCATATTCCGTCGTGGACAAGGCTTCGACGGCTTTTACCTTCCCGGCAGCCCTCCGAACTTCGCTGTTGGTGAAAGTAACAAGCGCACTAGTTTTCGGCAGCTTGTCTGATCACTAGACTCTTGGCCTTAACCACAAAAGATGACATACAAATTATCGGCTAAAATAACTCACGTATTACTTCGGACCATCATAGAATATCATTTTCACCATGCTCATTATGTTGTATAAAGATCTCACGATTGACCAAAGCTTACTTACTCGAGCAGTGAAGTTGCGGTCTTCAAGTGCTCTTTCCGATTCTCCTACTTATGTAGATCGATCAGATCACTCATACGGGCATTTCCGCGATCGGCCTGTCGTAGATGGTACCGCCCGTTTGCGAGTACAGCGGCTTCATCAGGGAAATTGTTATATCAGGTGAGCTGCTTTAACTGTCCATAAGCCTTAAGGGGAGTCATCAACGCTAAGCTTCCACCATTTCTTGTATGCGCTTCTGGACAGATCACGTTATGTACGGCTCAGGTCAACAGAGTTACAGGTATCAGAATTCCATTTCAACCCAGAAAGCCGGTTTTCTCCTACAGTTCAGCCGAAGTCTGTTGTGGAACTTGACACTATTCCCTGGGCGAGGGATAAATAGAGTACTTGTTGTGCTTTCCGGTGCATAACAAGAATAGGTCACTGATCCGAGGTTTGACCTCAAGCCATCGCGATTCAACAAGTTGCCGCCCGACCCTGCTACAAGGTGTGGCACCAGGAACGGACGACTGCAGATGTGCCAAACGAGTGCCCGGCGCGCCGAGAGACACCCCACTACTCGAGACATCTATTCGCATGCCCATTAAACCCCACTCAACTAACGCCCCTGTCCCTATGGACAGACCCTAGAGAAGCTGCACGCTTCTTGGGTCTCCCGTTAGTTGAGCTTGACGACAAAGATTGAGGGACTTACTGATTTAGGCAGGGTTGTTGTAACAATAACACCCACAACTGAAAAGGTTCGGCGAACTAAACAGCCCGCTCCATTCTATCCGGTAAATATGCCGACATAAATTGTCTTTATTTAGGTTCGGCTTCAGCCTCATTGCGTATGTCGTAAATTAGGCTAAATTGGTCGACTCGACAACATGGGAATTGTTGTTGTTGTTGTAGCGGTTAGTCCCTCAATCGTTGTCGTCACGCTCTACTACCAGTAAACCAAGGATGCGTGCAGCCTTAATTCTGCTCAGGTATGAGTTCAACCTGCTGCAGTAGCCAGAGCGAAGTTGGTCTACTGTGGTCCGAGTCTCCTGAGGAAGACGACGCTCTGTCTCGTCAACGTTTGGTGGTTGTGTATCCAGAACGGCATTTACAGTTCAAGAGTCTATATAACTCGAGACCGCCTCTCTATGAATGCCGTTCAAGGCCTGTCGGTAAGCTGACGGGTCCAGAGGTTGTTTAATGGACCTCTGGACTTCGTCCGTTAGTTCATATAGATGCCTTATGACGTACCGTTGCGAGGGTTCTTCCGCAAGCAAATGTCTGTTCGGGTGCCCACAACGGTGACACTCTTCCAGGAATTGCTTGCAGAGCGTTGTGTTATGCTCCTTAATCGGGAGCATGTGGGCCTCGTCATACAGGTGATGTTGCGGCGACATCAGAAGGCATCCTGCCGCTGTTCTAGGTGCCGTGCTTTGGCAGGTCTACAGCTTCATCCACTCCGCCCTACTAGTCCACGACGACCACACAGCGCTGCATAGTTCAGAACCGGCCGGCCAATTGCCTTGTACTTTGCCAACAACGTTTCTTTGTCTTTGCCACAGGCGCTGCCGGCTAGCGACATCAGGACCTTGTTGCGGCTTTGTACTTTGTTGACAATTCCAACTGTATGCGCCGAGAAGTATAGCAGATTGTCGAAGGTTACTCCGAGGATCTTCGGGTTATTCACCGTCGGAATTGGTTCGTCATCGATGTGAATACCCAGTTGCAGGCTGATCTCTATCGTCCAAGTGGTGAAAAGCGTTACTGAGGATTTTGTAAGGGAGAGGGTTAGGCTCCGTGCAGTGAAGAAGCGAGAATGCTTGGCGATATAATCGTTTACTTTCGAGCACAAGCCATCAGTTCCATTTTCAGACGTCATAATCGACGAATCGTCAGCATAAGAGACAATAGTGACAGTGACTCCCTTTGGAGCTTTGAAATATAATAAACAATAACGGGGATAGGACACCACCATGTGGTACCCCCTGTTTAACTTTTCTCCGTTTGCTAGTTTTGTCCCAAAAGATTACTGACGAATGTCGACCACTCAGATAATTCGCCGACCACCGTTTGAGTCCCTGTGGGAGAGAGGAGGCCTATATGTCTTCTAGTAGCGTTGAGTGGCTGACGGTGTCGGACGCCTTAGACAGGTCCAACGCTACTAGAGTAGTTCTATCTAGGCATGAGTAATACTGCGCTGCGTGGCGCAATTGCGTTAACACCGTATCCGGAATTGTCGCGCCAACACCAATATTTGAACAGCGCTAGCGCCATTAACACCAAGAAACACACGAGACACACACAATTCGCCGTAATCCTTTGAAAAATTACTCGTTCTTTGTCTTTGCTTTTGAGTGGTGAGAACGCCAGAATGTATCTTGGCAAATTTAAAGCTTTTACTCAAGAATGATGAGAATATCGTGGCATTTACTACATTCCTAGCAGCTAAATTCGGTTGGCGGTACAAGCGTTGCTCAGCGCTTAAAATTAAAAAAGTAATAGGCATGACACCATTTTATTTTGTATGACACTGTATGACGATGACGGTGTTCAAATCAGTACACTGCGCTATTGCGCTGACACCATAGGTGGCGCCGGCATTATTGAGCTAGTGCCATAAAAATTGCGCTATTACCCATGGCTAGTTCTCTCACAGTGGCGGTTTCCCACGACGCACAGTTCTGTGTCTCCATATAAAAAGTGGGCAAAAATAGAATAATGGACGCATTTGAGTAAAAATTCGTTTCTTGGTGGATTAGAGTACGGAGATTTCAAAAATCAATTTTTTTTTTACCTAGCTCTTACATTTTTCATGGAAACTGAGATTGAAACTGCAAAATTTGATATTCAGAAGTAGTTCCAATACTGAGTAGTTATTTTATTATTTATACAGGGCGTTTTCCTAATAATATTAAAGACTTCAAGGCTTCATTCTATGGCTTAATTCATGGCAAATAAGATTCCCTATATCTCTCTTACGCAAACCCTCTAGGAATGGCAGCTACTTTCATTTTGGTCCTTTTTGACTACAAAATGTTTTTTTAAATTGATTATATCTTTTGGTGTGGATGTCACACGCTTAAAAAATTTTATTCATTCAAGACGACATTAAATACTCAAAAGACAAATATAATTTTGTTTTCCTTTTTATTAGTTACTTCGCACGAACAAGAGTTGTTGCAAAATACTGAATCAAAAATTATTTGTTTTATCTAACGCCGTTTATTGAAAAATTAAAGTCATCATGCAGTCAAATTCGAAACTACTCAGCAAACACACTAGTTCATTGACTATATATTTTGTGGAGTATTCATACATGAATTGTGGTATATTCATACATGAATTTTGTGGTGTATTCATACATGAATTCATTCATGAATTTCGGGTTGAAATCATACTAGTCAGAAAAAGTGTAATCTATACTAGCCCTTCTATCGAGCTCTTCGATGGAATAGTTTTTCAACAAATGCTCTACCCTTCGATTTTTTGTTCTCCGTGAAGCTTCGCAAAATTATTCTTTAGGTCTTCCCCGTTCAGCACATTTATCCTTATTTCCATTGGAATCCGGAAGGGAAAGGAATGTCCAATTTAACCATTTAGAATATGTTTTTTCAAAAGCGCTTCTTTTGCGGCCACTATAATTCCACTTGTTTTTCATCTCACTATTAAAAAGTTTTATTTTTTTATTCAAAAGTGCTTTGTCGCATTTAGCGTGTATTAATTTGTCTTCAAAAAATGCAGATAATGCAGACACTCTATCTGATGGACGAGTAGAAATCCAGATATCAGCTAAAATTGAGTTTTTTATAATTGAATTCATATTAATATTAGTTTTTTCACTATTTTACGCTTCACTACACAGCACAGAACACTACCGCGTGTGTCTACAGTAATAAACTTTACTATTTTTAAAGAATGTTTTGGCATTTAAGTAATGGAAAATACTGTGGTAACTGTAATCAGTGAAATTTTTTTTTTGCAAAAGTTTATTTTATAACCTTAAAAAAAACGATTTTCTTCGAAAAGCGCAATGCGTCTGCAGACTTTTTTTTTTATTTCAAAGAAAAATGCCCCTTCTTTCAAATAAAAGAATAAAAAAAAAACATACTTTTACATATTTTTTTTTTATCCCTTTGTAAACTTACGAATTTTTTAAATTTTCTGCAACAAATTTTAGGGTGTAGCAAATAGGCCATTCCAGCCAGGAAACTCAATATTTTTTAAAAAGCTCTATAGAGTGGTTTCCTTACAGATTTTCTAATTAGAAAAATTGTGTCTTAAGATAAAGTATGATAAATGGTTTTGTTAGCAATTTTTTTTTTTAAGACATTAAGGCATTTCCATAAAAGAAAAAATATATAAAAAACACACAACTTTAAGAGGTTTTTGTGAGAACCTTATGAGATAAAAACAAAAACTAAGTCCAGATCCTTAATCTAGGATAAATTTCCTTTCCAACGATACCAAACACGTTGACATACGTGACAACAATTTTTTTGATTTTTGCCCGCTCATACAGCACTGTGCGACGGCCGGTTCTATGTACCGGAATGACTCAATGACAATGACATGAAATTTTCGATACGATTCGACTCTCGAAAACGACTTGCATTCGGCATAACTCTCGCAATGAGGCTGAATGCTTGTTTATTCTATAGAAATAAAAATATTAATCTTTTGTTTTATTTTTTTTTTATTTTTGTATTTATAATTTATTTTGATTTGTTTCAAAATTCATACAACTTTATTTGGCTAATAAAGTTTTGCAAATGCAAAAAAACTAACAGATTTTCTTTTTCTCCGACTATCCACGTTTTATAAAAATTAACAAAATATGCATTGTGCATTACGTACATAAAAAATGTATATATATGTATGAACGTATGTTAGTATGAGTGTATATAGTGCATTTTTTTAACATATCACATATGTATCGCCAAAAACTTAATTACAATCCTACCAGGCTATAACCACATTTACGTTTATAATGAATAATCAAATTCGGAAGATAAAAAAAACACAAATACAACGCTATCGAATAAATTTCAAATTAATATTTTTTGAGCAATAGTAGATAGTAATTATTCATAACCTCCTTGTATGGTTTTTTTTCCTAATTCAGCTTACAACTAACGTAATAGAGCATACGTTTTTATATTTTCGTAGAGTATGTATGCAATTATAATTACAATATGCAATAATCTTGAAAATCTATATTTATTTTATATGCTACACTTCTAGAGGATGAAATGACATGCCAAAAGGCCTGCTAAATTGGCATAAATTTTCAATTGCGACCAATGAGGATTTTTATGTATCTGGTTGCGCAGTCTAATAACATTTTGATCAATCTTCGATTTTAGTAAAGAGTTTCTTTCGGCACTCTTGCAGGCTTGATTTATCTAACGACACAAACCCCAGCGAGTTTTGTTCTAAATCCTCCAAATTAAGAAAGCTATTCGGTCCACTTAATATTGTTGGCGAAGATCGTACGTCATTCAGATTTTCAATACCACCACAGTCATTCTCTACCGCTCTGTAAGAAAAAATAAATTAATTATTACTGAAACTACTTTTACACAGTCGCAGATTATTTACTGAAAACTGATCTTGGTTAGGTCTTTTCGTGAACGGAAACTGTGATTATTGTGATTTACAGGTGTTGAGTTTACTATTTTATTAGTCGCCGCAAATGTTATAGGTGTACTTTGTTGCGATAAATTAAAACAATTCTCTCCACTCAAGAATTCGATGGGAGTATTTCGAGCGTTTCCTCCAGTAGGAGTTGATGCTATCAAACGCATAGAGATATTCGGCGGGCGTTTATCTTTAATTTTTTGTGGCATAGGATATCCCAATTTTTTGCGTTCATTGCCTACAGAATCACGGTGTATATAAGTAGCGAAAACAGATGTGACAAAATTAAATATTATTTGCTTCAAATTACAAAGCTTAGACCAAGCAGCTCTGCGTGATCGCCTTATCGTTTGCCTCTGCAAGAAATGTATTGTCAAATTACTGTGTGAAAAATATAAGGTATATAAATATGAATTTTATATTCACCATCATAATCACCAACTTCCAACGATTCCTACGCTCCATTAAGCTAACTAATTTTTTGTTGCTTAAAATATCATCGACTGTGGGTCGGTAGTCAGGATCCGGTGACATCATTTGCCTGATAAGAGTTTCCAGTTCTGGTGATATTGCTGGGTGTGAGATTCGGTAATATGAATTAAAAACCTTATACATTTGTAATTATTCAACTGTTTTGCATACATTTCATAAAATCCTGTGGTAAAACTCCACTACGTAGCTGTTGCCAAAGTGGTCCATTGTGTGGTAACTCCAAGTAACAAGATAACTCAAGCATAGCTACACCCAAACTAAAAATATCCGCTGCTTTAGAAAACTTGCCCTGCAAAATTTCGGGCGCCATGTAACGAGAATCACCTTCAGTGGCTTGCTGACGGTTCGCCTATTAATAATATTAAATTAATTTCAATTAAAAATAAACTTAAAAAAGTATATGAATAAAAATTTATTTTATACTCACTCTATCTACATCAATAACCAAACCGAAGTCGGCCAATTT